CATGACAACAACAACCTCAAACTAGAAATTCCATTTAACCCGGCTGTTCCGCTTCCAGGTGTCTTCCTAAAAGAGTGGAAGACATCATATCACAGTGACCCATCGCACCCATGTATATAGCAGCACAAATCACTGGACAGCTGACTCTTGGAAGCAGCCTACATGTCCATTAGCAGATGACAAGGAAAACGTGGCATTTACACACACCAGAGCACTACTCAGTCATGAGTCATCTGTAGGAAAATGGATGTGCCTTGAGACCACACTGCTGAGTGAAGTAAATCAGACACACGGGCTCAAACGCTGCGTGGTTAGCCTAAGGAATCTGCAGTACGTGGCCACACCGGTGGAGTGATGGACAGAGGTCAAGATGGGCCAGCTTATTCGCTCACCACACAGGGAGAAAATGAAACCCAGGCTGGCCTTGCGGCCTAATCTTAGAGCAGCTTCCCGGGTGGGAGAGGCAGCAGCAGTGCTGGGCTCCCAAGTGGAGCTGCGTGGGAGCCTGCGGGTGACTGTTAAATCCCAGCGTGCGAGATGCTAAGTCAACGCTAGGCGCTGCGCTGAGCACCCCACTCATCCTCCTGCCTGCTTGGCGCCGGTCTGTTTATCCTCCCGACTCCAGGTAAGGCACGCGGAGGCACGGACAGTTTGTGTACACTTTGAAGTATAAGAGTCGGGCGTGGTGGCGCAGGCCTGTAATTCCAGCACTTGGGAGGCTGAGGCAGGAGGATCGTTGCAAGTTTGAGACCAGCCTGGGCTACAAAGTGAGCTCAAGGCCGGCCTGAACTACATAGCAAGACCCAGTCTCAAAAATGCAAAAAAAAAAAAAAAAAAAGAAGAAGAAGAAGTACACAGAGACACAGTTGGAGAAGACCATGTGAAGCAAACCTAAGCAATGAAGGACATGAAGGCATTTGCTTCTCCAGGGCCGGTGCGCCTGCGCGGCAGCAGTGCTGGGCATACCACAAATGCCCCTTAATCTGCACGCGCGCCCCATGTTCCGGTTCACTGACTCAGGCCTGGCTCGCGCCTCCGGGGAATTACACACCAGCTGTACCATTGTCGTTTTACAAATAAAGCAATTTAAAACCTGGTCTGATAACAAAATAATAAGCACCTAGATATTTTGGATATACAGTTACCAACAACGCTGGCCAAAACCCAGGTAAAGCCGAAAGGCTTTCAGTGAGAAAGTGACGGGTTTAACGTTCTCTTCCGGGCCTCAGTAAAAATGATTCCCCGCTCGATGCGCGCGTCTTTCTTGCTGCCCACTTTCACTCAAAGGGTCTCTTAGCGTTTTCTTCCTGCACTGGCACTGAGGATTATTTCATTTAATAATTTAAAATAAGAAACATGGGAACGGGGATATGGCTCAGTGGTGCAGTGCTGCCTCGCCAGCGGGAGGTCCTGAGTTCAATTCCCAGCACCAAAAAAAAAGGCACTAAAATAAGAAAGACAGAGCAGAAAGCACTCCATTATCTGGCCAAAATGTCCTGAATGTAATTTAGGGAACTCTGTCCCTTGAATCATGTGATGAGCTATGGCTTTGAATTTCAATCTCTATGTCTTAGTCATTTTCATCAGTGAGACTCAATGCCTGACACCCACAGCTTAAAGGGGGAGACATTTACTTTGGCTCACAGTTTGTAGAGGTTCCAGCACATAGTGAACAGCGGCAGAGCAGAGGGGCCTGGCGGAAGACAGCTGCTCACTGTATGGCGCACAGGAAACAGAAAGGGTTGGGAGTAGATCCTTGCAGGCCACAACCCCAGTGACTCGCGTCTTATAATCAGGCTCCACCTCCAGCACCACAGGCAGCTATCAACACAGCAGTGGACTGATCATCCATGAGCATCATGCCCACACGATACAGTCACCCCCATAAGCCCTACCCTTGAGTGGACGAGTCTTTGAGGGGGCGGGCGTGCTCACCCAGATACAAACCCTCACAGACAGTGTAGACAAGGTAGCTCCCTGTAGGGCTGTTACAACAATGGACTGTGTGGCTGATTTCAGAAATGTATCTCCACACAGTCCTAGAGGCTGGATGTCAAAGAGCAGGGCACTGACAGGGCTGACTTCTTTGGAGGCCTCTGTCCTACTTGTTCCTATGTCATCTGTTTTTTCCTCTGGTTCTCTATAAGCACACCTGCTGTTATGGCTTATGTTTAGACGGCATCCAAAGCCTCATGTGATCATAGGCAGGGCTTTTTCAGAGGTGGCTTGATCTAGAGCGTGTGATGCTGGAGCTGATTCATGATGCAATGCTAGGATTAAGGGCACCAAGATTAAGGGTGTAAATGCTAACTACTCTAAGTAGCCTGGATAAGACATAAGGGATAGAAAGAGCTGTGGTTGTCCCTTGTTGCTTTGCTCCTTTCTGCCCTCCATGAACAGTTTCTCCTCTGTGATGCCCCTCTGTCGGGCCACCCTGCCTTGGAGACAGCCGACCATGGACTGAAGCCTCTATAAACTGTGAGCCAAATACCAAATAAACCTTACCTCCCTTACTAGTAGGTGTTGGGTATTTTTTCTCAGCAACAAGAACAGTAACTTGGACACCTGCCATATTGGACTCAGCCACCTGTGTGAACTCTTCTTTACTTCTCACCAAGCACAGACACATTCTATAGTACTGGGGCTTCGTCCTCAAACACACAATCAGGGGTGAGGAGACCTCCCTCAGTTCCCTAGGAAGACACTATAGATGCAGGTGCAGCCTGCAGAACACACAAGGGAGTCTGGGAGCTACGTCAGAGACATCTCCAACTATCTGAAAGTCCTTGGTGACTTGGAGTTGGGCCTGGCAATTGATGTTCAATTTTAGAATATATGAAATGTGTTGGGGGGGCAAAGGAGGCACGGCTAGAACCTGCAAATAACTTACAGAAACATGTCAAAATAGTCGAGAACTGACCTGAACTTTAGCATGTCCTGCTGGAATCATTTGTTTATGGAAAAATAAAATAGTTCATGGAATGAACAGAGAGCTCGCCATGCTTTGGACACACTTACAAGTACAGCAAGGTGTTTGTAACTTTATTATTATTATTATTTTTTTTGGTTTTTCTCCGGTACTGGGAACCAAACTCACGACCTTGCACTTGCCAGGCAAGCGCTTTGCCACTGAGCTAAATCCCCGGCCCATTTGTAACTTTAGTGGTAGCAAAGGGTAAAGGAAAGTTTGGTCCAACCCATACAGCACTACGGCCACACTACCCAGGAGGAGCCACAGGATTTGGCCACAGAAGACGAAAGGGAGCGTCCAGGAGCCGCCATCAAGGTGGACACGGGGAGAACTTTGTCTCTGGCACGTTATGCAACTGATATTCAGTATCACAACCTCAACATTTCGGGTTTAGTTAGCACCCGACACTAGTACTGCCACCTCTCCACTCCCAATATTCTTTTCACATTTGCTATTTAAATCTGCTGAGCAGAACTCCTCGGCCCCCCTCTCCCGCCCCAGGGCTGGGTAACATGTGCTGTCTTCTGTATACCACTGGCCAGACATTTTCCCTATGAGAAACAAACACAATTGAAAAGTTATACTGTTGAGGCAGGAAAAATATGGAAAAGGTGTATGTCACTTTTTTTTTTTCTTTCTCTGGTATTCTGAAACAGTTGAGCTCTAAAAAGAAGCTGGAGTTGAATTTTAACGTGAAATAAAAACACAGACATCTGTGCAACTAGAAATGTCAACCCAATTTAAATGTTGAACTATTTATCTGACAGTAGACTATAATTGTTTTATGCTTTTCTTATGTCTAGCACGTAAAATAAATGGTTAGATTATAAGAACAGAGAATAGCTTACACAATTTAAATGCCGATGAATACTTTTTATTACACTCTCTTTTTTATTTTCATTTATTTATTTATTTTTGTCTTTTTGAGACAGGGTCTCGCTATGCAGTTCAGGCTGGACTTTAGCTCACTTTGTAGCCCAGCTTAGTCTCGAACTTGCAAAGATCCTCCTGCCTCCGCTTCCTGGGTGCTGAGATTACAAGTGTAGACACCACACCCGGCTATACTTGCTTAAAATAAAGAGGACCAAAAAAAATCAGAAGATATTTATTTTAGTTGCCATTTTTATTCAGTTGTGGGGTCATATCTAAGGCATCACTGGGAAAGAATAGTATGGTATTTTTTCCCCAAAAAACTTAAAGCTTTTTTTTTTGTCTTTTTGAGACAGGGTCTATGTAGTTCAGGCTGGCCTTGAATTCACTATGTGCCACCAAGCCCCGCTTCCAACTACTGATGAAGTTGCATATTTATAAATAAATAAATAAATTTGCCAAGCAGATTTTTGTTTCTCTGCTCCTGCTTTTCCCAGGCCACGCACAGAAACGAGCCCTGAGAAACAGAACTTTTGCAGATGGGAAAGGGACCCGGAGAAGGAGGGAGGCGGGGAGAGGGGTGAAGAAGAATTAAGACGTGTTACGTACAAGAACCAACTCCTATGTATCAGTAAAGATAAAACACTGAAAGAGAGAAACGCGCGGTGACCTCTCAGCTGGAACGGCAGCGTCAGGGTGACCCTGAGATGGGCGCAGGTTTGCACCGAGCGCCCGGCCAGCGACCCCACCAGTGTCCGGGACTCGGCGGCGCCCTGGGTCACGGGGGGCGGGGCGGCCAGGCGC